TGTCAGGAGTAGCCGCACTCTCCGGCTGCGGTGTTGACTTCGACTTCGTCTTGCGAAGAGAACGCGAACCGCTGGGCGTGGGCACACTGGGCGGTGGCGGGATCGGACTTGACCCAGACGCTGCTGCATGGCGCTCCGCATGGCGCTCCGCAAGTCTAGCTGCCGCATGGCTAAGTGGCAAACCAGCAGAGCCTGCCAACGAGGCAAGGGCCCTCGAGAGGTTGTCGGCCCGCCTTGAGGAGCCACGTGGCCGTTCCGAAAGACTGATTCTGGGCCTCAGGTAGTCATCGAGAGACTTGAAAGTAGCAATTGCGTGGATCGAAACCATGATGTTTCGGTACGACTTGGGTATAGACTCATCGTCAGCTACAAGTCTGAGCCGAATCTGCTTCGCGAGCATAGACGCCGCACTACTGCGATTGCCATCGAAGGTATTCTGGTGGACAGTAATGACCTCGAAATGCTCAGATCTACTAAGCAAATCCTGAAGTTTGTGAACCATGACACTGAAAGGAGTCGCAGGTGAATCGGCAGTGGCAGTCTTGGGCTTAGATTTGACGCTGTAGCCCATGAAGACCTGCAAGAAGTCCGCCTGTGAAGTGCGGGCTAGATCCTCGTCGGGATTGCTGAAAACTTCCAAAAGCACTCTAACGAGCCCAGAAGCCAGAAGCTCTGCGCTGGTGACACTTTCGAGAACGTCCGCGTCGAAGGACGAGGCCAGCTTCTTGAAGAGCTCTACGCCGTTCTCAGGTGCAAGGTTGCCGGCCGATCTGTTGAGGTAAAAGGCTTCAATCTCTTCGGCAAGATCTGATAGATTAGTAAGAATCTTAGTCGCCTTTTTCTTCATGGCCTTGCCGTGCTTCTCGGTCTCGTGGCTCTCCAAAAACTTTTTAGCCACCTCACGAATCCTACATCGCATCGACGGGACATCTGACAGGAAATGCTGAGGCGGCCCATCAAGCGACATGGTTGAGCCACGTGAGCTAACCGGCGACCCAGAAATGTCGTCTGGGTGAGGCTCGTTCTCATTGTCCTCCTCATTCTCCTCGTCATCCGACTCTTCGTGCTCTTCATCGTCTTCTGACTCTTCGTTGTCGGAAGATTGATCACCAGAATCTCCCGCAGCCTGCGGTTCTGTGTTGCTGGACTCCTGCGAGCCGGCTGGCTCTGGCGCTGGGGGTGGAGTGTGCTCCTCGATGGCTAACTTGGTAATTTCCGAGATGACACCTTCACGGTAAAGCTGATACCGGTAAACATCCTCCAAGCGACTGAGAAGGAGTTCTGTAGCTTGGAGTGCCAGCATGACCAGTGAGGGATGGTCCTGCTGAGATAAAATCGAAGCCAGGAAAGAAGCATAAGACACTGTCTTTAGGGCTTCGCCAAGAATTTCCTCGTCGAGGTTCGAAAGCATCTTCAGCTGGGCTGTGAGTACCTTTTGACGAACGTTGAGATTAACTGTGCTCGAAAAAGCGTCGGTCAAGGTTGGGAAGAGAATGAGGGCAAAGCGGCGAACTTCGGATTTGCAGGTGTCGAGCAGCTCGATTCTCTTGTCGTTTGGTGACTTGCGCGTCTTTCCAGCTGCTGTGGATGAAGGAGTGATGGGTTCTGTTGCGTTCATCTCCACGAAATCGCCATATGAAGGGTCGGCATTGCGAGGCAGGCTAGGGAGCAGCTCGCAAATGACGTTGAGAGTCTCGATAATCTGTTCCTTTGGTCGATGGATCAAGGCCTGCATGATGACGACACTGTCCAATTTGGAGGCAACGTCTTCTGTGCCGCTAGGCGGAGAAACGCCGGTGAGGATTTGGTAAAGTGTCTCCACGATGTTGAGCTTGAATAAGTCCGCCGAAAGCTGGGGGCTAGCACGAGCCGTAAAGGCCAACACCCGCAAGAATTGCGTGTGGATATCAGCCCCGATGAGATTGGTGGTGCCTGGCACAAGCAGTCTCAGGACAGCCTTCAACAGATCGACACTGACGAGCTCCTCCAGCTTTGCAGACTGGTACTTGAAGCTCTCCACAATGCCAGAGACGCAGATGGAAGCCTTTTCAACCACTCGCTGGTCGCTGCTGCCCAAGACGTTGAGAAGCGTGGGCATGACATCTCGAATTACCGGGAAAGAATCCTCTGGGATGTTTCGGCAGCAATTTGCAGCCGTAGTCACCGCTGTTCTTTGTGTGCTTGTTGCGAAGAAATCCAGATAAGACAAGCAGGCGGTCAACCCACCCTCTCGGACAATGCTGGAGGGATACTCCGCTGAGATCTTTTCGAGGGTGCTCAGGGCTTGCTCGGCAAGATCGATAAAGGAGATCTCGAGCAGCTTTTGGCAGAGCACGGGGACAGCGCCTCCGTAAACGACGTTGGCCACACTGGCGGGCAATGCCTCCATCAAGTTTGCCAGGCAACGGCAGGCGAGCAGCATGATTTCAGGGTTCTCTTCGCCCGTCATCTCGTTTGGTTGCATCAAAGTCACCAATTCCTTGACGAAGGCATCAGGTGAAAAGTGACCTGACAAGTTGTCCTCGTTGGACACCAACAAGATTTCAGATAGCTCTTGCAGGGCGATCAGCTGCACTGATGGGTCATCTTTTTGACGCAGGCTGTTGAGAAGGTCTCGCAGGCGAGATGAAATGCCCGACATCATGCCTGTCAAGGCCCGCAAGGTACTTGACAAGCCACCGGGACCCCCTGGACCTCCGAATCCGCCAAAGGGATCATCGTCTACGTCGTCATCGTATCGCTGGCCCTCGTCATCGTCATCGTTATCGTCACTATCATCGTCGTCGTGATGTTCGGGTGGAGGTGGTGGGGGCGGGAGAGGAAGAGACTCCTTTTCGGTATCATCTGTGCCCGTCATCGCGGTGTCGGCATCCGCGTTATTTGCGGCATTCCGTTTTGTCTTCCGGGAAGAACTGGATGTGTTGGCAGAAGGATCTGTGGATGCCGAATCAGTACCATGATCCATAGGTATTAGAGTATAGGCAACTCGTGGTTACCTGTGGTGCCGGGGGCAGTCCTCTTGCTTCGGCTGCTGCTGGATTTGCGGCTTGAAGACGCCGAGGGTGCAGTATTCTCAGATGCGTTCGCAGGATCGGCGGAAATGCTAGCAAGCACAGTCAGCCTTGAAGGTTCTCAAGCTCCAGCTTCAGGTAGTGGAATTGCTTACTCTGGGCTCGACATGGTGGCGGTAGATTTGCCCTTTCTCTTGGAGCGAGGCGGGGCAGGTGGTTGTGTAGGGAGCTGAGGCGGTGGAACAGCGTCGGCTACCTTTTGACGCTTTGATCGCCTGGAAGAAGCTGATGCGGACGGCTGTGCTCCAGGAGTAGGGCTGGTAGCTTGTGTTGAAGCCTTTCGTTTCCGCGAGGCTGAGGTGGGAGGGTTCGGAGGGCTGGAGCTCTGTGGTGCAGGGGCGGTGGCTGCGGGATCGGCGCTTGCAGTGGATTGTGTCGATGAAGCCGCGAGACTCGCCGCTTGCCGGGCAGAAGATCTAGTAATTCTGGGAGACATGAGTGACTGGTTTTTTCGAGGCATGCCGACCGAAGAACGGCAGGCGAAAAAAACAAAGGTTAAGATCAAGTCAGATCGGCCGAGGCCAGGATGCCGGTGGCCTCGTGTGTGTCCGCAACGAAGGTCAGATGTGTGTGTGGTGTGTGGGTGTAGTGGATGTGGATGTGCAGAGTACTAGACAGAACGAGAGAGGTAAAGCATGCAATGAATTGCTGGGGTGGTAGAGGGAGGGGTCTGCTAGCACTGGCCCGAAGCTGACCAAGCGAGAGTGACGAGAATAAGGAAGTAAAGGAGAAAAGAGGAGTCGAGTCGAGTTGAAGAAGTGTCGAGGAGACGATCAAGACTCGATGAAGAGCGTGTGAAGGAGCGGTGCGATGCAGCCGTGTTTCAATGGTTGGAAAGCAGGCGCTTCTCTGTGTCTTTTTTTTTTCTGAGGTGCTCTAGAGGTACGGTGCGGTGGTGCCTGGCAGGATGTACGGTGCGGTGCGGTGCGGTGCGGTGTAGGTAGGTAGTGAGGTAAGGCAGTAGGTATAGTGACCCGACCCGCTTAAGTTCGAGATCCCGCCGTTCGGGTACCGAAGGCAAGGTAGCTTCAGGAGGAAGAGGAGGGGGACGCAGGTAGGCTGGATCCTGAGGCCGAAAAGGTGCCTTGTTTGTGCCTTTTTGGGGAGTTTGAGGATCAAAAGAGGAAGACTCGGGAGATGAAGACGAAGGTGAAGGTGAAAGAAGCAGCAAAGTAGAGGCAGACCGAACCAGGTGAAGGCAGGCAGGCACGAGACGAGTTGGCTGTCGCCGGCAACTACCCCACGGCACCTGAACGTTGTTCCTGCTGCTCCTGCCTCTGCCTCCCGTCTGCTCCTTCTCCCTACTCCGAACGAATGTTTCTGCGCGCCTGGCACCCGAGGATGTTTCTTGTTCCTTTCTCTCCTTTTTTTTTTTGGTTTTTTTTTTTTTGAATTTTTTGAATCCTCTCCTCTTCTTCTCTTTGTTCCTCTTCACTCTCGAGTCTCTCTCTGCCTCGCTCTCATATGCACACGAACCACACACATACGCCGTCTCTCTTTCTCTTTCGACTCTCTCCTTTGACTCGGCGAAGCACAAAACAGTGTACGAGGGATCGAAACGAAACACGGCAAATACGGGGAAAATGGCAACCACCTACCGCTGGGAAGACGAGGTCGAAGCTAGGGTGGGCGAACCCGAACCGGAAGACGATGTCGTCGGCGTGGACGGGAGGCGCGCGGGGGGATCGTGGTCGACTACCGATCTGGAGCGCTGATTTGCAGAGGCGATTCGTTCTGCCATGGATTACGCCATGAGGCAGGACAGCTCGAGGTTTGCTGGCGATTAGGCGTCTTGGTGTGTTGATGTTATCAGCGCCGTCGGGAAATGGCCAACAAATACGATGGCGTTGGGAGGTTGGTCCGAATCAACGGATCAAACAAGGCGATTTCGTTGCCTTGAGAGTCATCGATATAGATGGCGTGATCTATCCTTCGAAACGGTTATCGTCTGTATCGTTATCGTCGTCGTTATCGTCGGAGGAGAACAGATTCGATGGCGAGGTTGGAAGTATGGGGAGATGTTACGGATGTTTTTTGGGATCAGAAGAGGTTATGCAGCGCCAAAGCAGCACGGGAGAGGAAGAAGGTGTCGGGTCTGACTGATGGATGCCCTGGGCCGTGGCCGGCGAACGGGACAGACACACCACCCGTTGCTGCTAACAGTTATTAACAAGCACCACGCCGCACGCCGCACGCCGCACGCCACATGCTGCACACACCACCACACACCACGCACCATACGCGCAAGGACAAGGCCATACTCAAACGGCCAACATGCTCCAAGCGGCTCTGATATCGCTGAGGTGGTCCAGTCCACTTTTTGCTCCAACGTAGCCACTGGGGAGAGACACTGGGCCCGCCAAATCAACCTGAGCGGCCACGAGGGGGGAATCCCTGCGGTAAGGCCCATGCTATGATGCTGCGGATACAGAGGTACTGCCATATCCGTACACATGCTTACGGAGTACCTGACCTTAGCACCCTAGATACTGAACAATACGGGCAGAACTATGTCATGGAACGGTCCCCCTCCTGTCACGCCTACCGTCTGGCTCCGTCCCAACCTCGAACCGCGCCAACGCCAATCATGGACGTGCCGTCGTCCGTCACCCGTCATAAGCCTCCCTGTTCCATCCGGCCAGGCCAGGCCTGCTATTGTCTTCGAACATTCAACCCGTACAGCGTCATTGTATTAGTGTCTGACCGTGCTGGAACGTTTGGCAGCTCAACTCCGCTCTACCACCACTGTCCGTCCCCAGTCTCTCAGGTGCTGACCTTGCACTAAGGTAGCACGCGGGGGACAATATTACGTGCCGCTCCTCTCAGGCTCTCTCTTCTCTCAGCAGTTCATCAAGCGCCCATACTGCCATAAAATTAAGTTAAACCTCGCTAAATTATAGATTATTCTCTTAGGTATCTTTGAGATATTTTAGAATAATTTTATCTCGTCTGATTGATGTGGAAGGACCAGCTTCATTGACAGTGCTCAGTAAAGCGGCACGTAATATTGACCCCCGCGTGGGTAGCTACAGCCAAAACAGCTTCGCATCAAAGCCGCTCGTCATTACGGAACCACGTCTCCGTTTATGCGTCAACACTTTAAGTGTGCTCCAGATTCTGACGGAGCTGATTCAAGTCTGGTGGGCAGGCGGCATTCCTATCTCGTCTTGCGCCATCAGGGTCGACTAATACTCCATTTCTAAGCAGCCAAGTGCAGCAAGTCAACAAAAACACCTCACGAAATATCGATAATGAGTAATATAGGCTTTGCTCGCGTCCGCGGCGCCGGAGATTCCGCATTAATCATTTCTTCTCTAGCCTGGTAGGTATCATGCAGGGCCTACTCGTCTATGCCTTCAAGCTGTCCTTGCCTCCCTCGAATTCACCAAACTCGTACTCATCCGGGTACTTGTCTAGATGCTCGCGTAGCTGTGCCATCTGCTGCTTCAGATCTGGCGTCAGCTCCTCATAAACGTCTTCAAACATGCCTCGGATCGGCGGCTTCTTCTCCATCTCGGCCTCCTTGAACGCCTTCAGCACCTCCCGCCTAGTCGAGTCTCTGCATTCTTTTTCCTTGGCCTCGTCCCACATGCCTTTGGCCTCCATGTACTTCCGCAGACGTGTGATAGGGTTGTCCCGCCTCTTCCAGTCCTCAACCTCGACTCTAGCACGGTAGGCAAACGAGTCATCCGACGTGCTATGGTGGCTCACCCTGTAAGTCATTGCTTCGATCAAGACGGGGCGGCCTCCGTTCTCGAGCGCCATTTCACGGGCCCGCTTTGTAGCCTCTCTGACGGCCCAGATATCGTTTCCGTCTACTCTAATGGTGTCGATGCCGTACCCCAGGCCGCGGCTGGCGATTCCGTCACCTCTGTACTGTTCTAGCGTTGGCGTAGAAATGGCATAGCCGTTGTTTCGGCAGATGAAGATTACAGGACATGATCTCGTAGCTGCGATGTTGAGGGCGGCGTGGAAGTCTCCTTCACTAGCCGCACCCTCGCCAAAGTAGGCCGCAACGACTCTTGGGGGTATCGACTGATCTTGCATCCGCTGCATCTTCAAAGCGTAAGCCGCTCCCGAAGCTTGCGGGAGCTGCGTTGCCAATGGTGACGATATGGTATGCTGTACGGGCAACGTGTTAGTATGGTTAACTACCCAGCCCCCTACGCAGAGGTAGCCATCTCGGCCATGGGGTACCCACGATATTCAGCTCCTTGCTACCGTAATGCACCGGCATGTTCCTCCCCCTACCGGGATCTTTCGAATTGGCAAAAAGCTGGTTCATGAAATCCGCCGTCGTGAAGCCCCGCTGCTTAAAGACGCCTTGCTCGCGGTACTGGCAGAAAATCACATCCTCGGGCGTCAGCACGCTCGCGGAGCCGACGCTCAGCGCCTCCTCGCCCGCCGAGACCATGTAGAAGCTCAGCCTGCCCTGGCGCTGGGCGTCGAACATGATGAGGTCCATGACGGAGATAAAGACCATGTCCTTGTAGAGCTTGACGATTTGCGCCTCGTCGAGGTCCGGGACGAAGGCGTCGTCGACGATGGCGCCGTTTTGGTCTACGACGCGGTAGGTCGGCACGGCGGGGTAGTCGCCGGGCGTCTCGAACTTGAGGCTGCTCGTGAAGGCGCTCTTTACGGCGCCGGGGAAGGAGACGTGGTTTGCGTTTGGTCTTTGGGAGAGGCTGCTTGCTGCTCGGCGGGGTTGAGGTGCTGCTGCCGCCGTTGCTTTTGCGGCCGCTGTTGTTGGTATTGATGTCGTCTTCAAGGGACCGTTTCTGGCTCGGGTGAGGGCGAGCCCGCCGAGGGGTGCCCGTCGAAGGATCTTGGAGGTCCTCATTCTCTCTCTCTTGGAGCTGTTTACTCTTCTTTCAAAAAAAACAAAAAAAAAGTCAATTGGTGAAAAGAAGTTAACTAGCAGGCCTTCCCAATTACATGGAATTCAGAGACGAAAGGAAAAGAAGTCGAAGGAGGGCTCAGAGGGAGAATGCCGAGACAGCAGCTATCCCGAGGAAGACCGTCTATCGTCGGCCGAAGTTGCGACGTCATGGCTGAGCCGACGTAAGCCGGCTACCGATAAGGCAGGTTAGCAGTGTGGCAGCGCGTGGCAGCTTCCCCCAAGGCCCCCGAAAGCCGTCACTGAGCTAGAGGGTGCCTTTTCCCGAATCCCGTTCTCCTATCGATAAGAAAGGGGAAACCGAACCTTAGGTTGGGCAGGGGTGCTTGTGACCGAGCAGCCCATCGACAAGGTTATGGTTTGCTCCGTGCTGGCGTCTAGGGACTGTTTTGGCCCCCGTAATCGAATCAGGAGGAGGCTGGACTCTTGTTTTTTGAAGGACGGTTTTATACAACACGAATTTTAGGGCGCGTTGCTCTTGGTTAAATAACGGTGGTATTTGTTTTTTTGTCTTCGCGGTAAGTTACGGTGTCCAGGTTGACCGTACCTGGCGATCTGGATAAGGTATCAAACTAGACAGGTCCATGTCAGTCCTAGACGACGGTTCGCCAGTGCTAACCGATGCTTGGCGAGGGATGTCGACGACTGATATACAGCACAGCTCCTCGGTTCACCGAGAAATCTGTCTACTCGGCGTTATTTGAAACTACCAAGTCGGGGTTGTCTAACACGGCAACACTGTCCAAGAGCCCTGGTCAAGCAAGTCTCATGCTTGAACTGCGGGTTCCCGGTTGAGTTGAAAGAGCTAAACGCCGAGTCTCTAAGCCGATTCTAACCTCATTAACTTCAGAAACCATCATGTAGGACAGTTTGAGTCCATTTACAAGAACTTGTTCAAAGGATCAGCCTAAGTAATACCATAACTTAGTTATATTTTTCCGGGAGCATCATCCTCCAATTCAACCTACTGCACAGCAAGGGTGCAGTTGTCAAGCGGCAATTGCATGGAAATCTCATCAAAAAATATTGAACATTGATTTGGCCCTCAATGGCAACAACTACATCTCGCACTCACGTAGTATAATACTAGTAGGTATACCGGAAATCCTCATTCTCCCCATCCGTCCTATCCTCCCTCTCCTGCTCAAGCCCAGCCTGCAACCTATCCTCGGGCACCCCAAACTTGGAATTGCGACGCTTATTCTCCGCCACGCAGAGCAGATAATACACGAGCCCCGACGCAGCCATGAGCGCAAAAGCAAATATCATGGCGCTGATACCGAGAGGGTACCGCGGCGCCTGGCTCGACAAGAACAGCTGCGGGCCGACGATATTGCCAATGGCGTAGCACACGGCCACCGTGACGCCCATGAAGCTCTTCTTCGTCGCGCCCGCCGTGTTGGACGAGTTGAGACTCAGCATGAAGACCCAGGGGACGTTGTAGAAGCCCATAATGTACACGCACGCCAGGCTGGCGTTGCGGCTCTGGTTGATGTCGAGGGTGTGCACCATCACCGCGCCGATTAACCCCACGATGGCGGAAAAGATCCAGAACAGGCAGCGGAGGTTCTGTACGAACATGGAGATGGTCGTGAGGACCACGCCGGCGACCATGGCGACCGCGGCCTGCGGCGTGGCCATGAGGACGGTTTTCGTCTGGCTGAAGCCGTACCCCGAGATGATGAGCGGGTTGAAGTTCGTGATGCCCGCGTTGGCGACGGCGTAGCCGATGGCGCAGGCCCAGACGCACCAGCATTTGGGATCCTTGACGGCCTCGAGGATCTGTCGCCCGTCGAATTTCTTCTTGACGTCGACGCCCGTTTGGTTCTCGGCGAGGCGGGCGACGACTTGTTTCTTTTCCTGCTCGTCAAAGAACCATGCTTTCTGCGGGGAATCAGGCAGAGCGAAGAGAACCACGAACCCGACGAGGACCGTGACGGCCCCGTAGATGATGAAGATGTACTTCCACGTCGACAAACTCCCCTTGATATTCCCAATCGCATACGAGAGGATCCCGCCAAACACGCCGGCGAACGTATTATGCCACAGCGCCGTACGCAAGGGCTGCTCTTCGCGGCGGTACCACGTCGCGTTGAGGACAAGCATGCAGGGCAACAAGGCGGCCTCGAAGATGCCGAGGAGGACGCGGATGGCGACGAGGCCGGCGAAGTTGTGGCAGGCGGACATGAGGCAGATGCAGGCGCCCCAGAGGACGAGGCAGGCGCCGATGAATTTGCCGATGGGGAGCTTGGTGATGAGATAGAGGGCAGGGAGTTCCATTGCTAGGTAGCCGAAGTAGAAGACGGAGCCGAGCCAGGAGTATTCTTGCCCTTTGAGGTTTGCGTCTTGGCGGAGGCCGAAGATTGCGGCGAAGCCTAGGGCGTTCTATATCTCGGGGACCATGGTTAGCTTCATGTATACCTATGACAATGTGATAGGAGAGGGGTTTTGGGACTTGCCTTGTCGAGGAACGCGAGGGTCATGCTGATTACTGCGCAGGGGAGGACGACGAGGTCCGTCTTCAAGAGGATGCGCCTGTTTTGCGCGGGCGTCGGCGCCAAAGTCTCGTCGTACTGGGAAGTTCCATCTTGAACGTCTTTCACGTCCGTCTGTTCGGTTGCGTCGTGGTTGACCATGGCGGATTTGGGTTCCATCACGGAAGATGGAAGCGCGTTGGAAACACTTGTTTAGGTAGGTATATGTACGGAACTGTGTAAGTCGGAGCTTGGATGCTGTTTGTACAAACTCTCAATCAACGAAGCAACTCGGTCAGACTCATTCAAGAGCCAAGTCTCTTCTCAAAGGACAGAAAAAAACTTAAAGAGTCCAAGTTTCGAAGTCAAGGCCCAAGGATCAAACATGCTCCCCCGAGTCGGCGGCGGAACCGCAGGTATTTCAATTGCTCAACTCCACATCCCATGTCCCGGGCCTTTTTGATATCAATGAGAGCTCTGCCGGATAACACACCATGTCGTTGTCGATATGGAGACTGCAGAAACAGAACTGCGATTGACGTTATCATTCTGGGGTATCACGCAATGAGAAGGTGGAGCTTGTGCTCGGTCCCCACCGAGATGATTGACGTCGAGATATCGGTGCAGTCCGAGGTGTTGCGCTGACTCGTGCTCCACCGGTCCTCACACTGTTCGTCGAGATCGTCGTCCAGGGACACGGCAGTAGATGCCGTGTTAGCTAATGGGGTGGTATTTGCCTCGAGATGTGACGAGTGAAGGCCAGTGGTCAAGAGACTTCTCTAATCTTTCGCATGGTATCAAATCGCAAGATTCCGAGCAAGATGGTGAGAATCACGCGGGCTCGCAATAGGTGACTCAACACAGATGATGGTTTATCTCCAAGCTGTGATCTCGGTTTCACCAACTTCTCGTTGAAGGAAGCTTAGCTAGTCTTCAGGCAACTAAATATTGAATCAGATTTTGTTAGCAAAACATAGCTTATCTCATTGAGCATCTGGTCGTTTTGTAACATAGGGTGCTTGACAAATAAATTGGTATTAGATAGACTCTCAAAGAGAATATAAAAAGACTCCACGAAGACTCAAATCTTCGACTTCAGCCTATCAAGGACACTCAGGTCCCGAGCCTGCTCAACCTCAGACAGAATCTGCTCCCTCGACCTCGCAACATCCCGCTCAACCTCAGCCACATAAAGCTTCTGAATCACCTCCGTCAAAGCCCCCCTCTTCCCGTCACCAATCACCCGCCCATCAACCTCAGTAACATGAATCTGCGACGGGAACGTACCCGTACAGAAAGCCTCATCAGCCCCATACACCTCCGTCAGCGCAAAATCGAGCTCCCGCACCTTAATACCAGCCGCCCGACAGACGTCAATAGTCTTTTGCCGCGTGATGCCCATCATCTGGTTATCCTTTGTCGGCGCCCACACCTCGTCGCCGCGGACGATGAAGAAGTTGACCGAGTTGCACGTCTTGACGAAGCCGTTGAGGTCCAGCATGAGCGCCTCGTCGACGCCCATGAAATTGGCGTGCACGCAGGCCTGCACGTCCGTCGCCTTGGATATGTGGTTCCACTGCTCGTCCTTGACGTCGGGCGGGCCGCGCCGGACCCAGGTCGTGCCTAGGCGCAGGCCGCGCGATTTGGCTGTCGGGTCGACGGCCTTGATCTCGGGGATGATGACGATGAGCGGCAGGCCGATGTTGACGTGCGGGTTCTGGTAGGGCGTTGACTTGAGGCCTCTGCTGACGACTAGACGCATGTGGACGTGAGGCTCGTTTCCCATGTCGTTGGCGTCTAGGGTTTGGTGGAGTAGTGATAGGAGGTCTCCCTTTGTCAGGCCCAAGTCCATGTACATGGCCTTTGCAGATTGGAAGAGCCGATTTATGTGCTCCTTGGCGAACTGAACTCGGCCTCTTACAGCACGAATGCCTTCCTATAATGAGAAGCCATTAGATCAGCCTTTGGACCGTTTTCACACCGATTCAACCGTTGACTTGCCCAGATTCCATCGCCTATAAGAAAGTTGGAGTCAAAGACTGAAACCGTTGCTTCCTCTCTGGGGACTAGACGGAATTCGCCAGTGACGCCGTCACGAATGCCAACCTTGTATCGATAGTTAGTACCGTGATTTAGAAGAGAAGGAATTCCAGAACCAAGATATATCTTACCAGGATTGAAGCGTTCTTGGAGTTCAGGACAGCCGTGTGGCTTGTAGCCGGCTGAGGTTTTGGCTGAGATTCGGACATGATGCTTGCAATGTTTTGAACGCTGTGATTCCGTGTAAGTCGCAAACATCTGGTTGGAAGCCAAGTCTCGAATAAATACCACACCCCTATCAAACCAAGGACCCCGATTTTTGTTATGCAGGGTTATTGGCCAAAAAATACTCATCAGGTGCTCCGATGCTTCCCCCAACAAGTAGGTAGCTTGGCCGGCACTGAGCTCGGCCAGGGCCGAAACTCTGATGACATTGCGCAAGCCAGTCTCCACTTATCATCGGTCCAGTCCGAGATCACCTCGGTCTTGGTGCATTAGCTGCAGCCAATGCAATGGGAAGAAGGGATCGAATTGATAACAATGATCCGATGTTGATATCTCCTTTGAAATCCGACGCTGAAGTAACTTACCAAGGCTGTGCCATGGCATCAGGTTAGCAGGTGTCGATAGCCCATGGTCACTCAACGTACACGAACGCCAGTTGCAGGGGGGCTTGGTATTGCCAGGAATTATTGTGACATTGTATTGTTTACCCCAAGTTCCCTAGGCTGGTTGGACTGCAACTCCTCCACAAAAGTGTCAAACCAGGCGGTAAGGCCTTCGTCCAAGCCAAATTGAGCGTTGTCGAAATACCCCGTTACCTGGTTCATATACGTTTCTAGACCATCGCCTTGGAGGAACATATTGGACTGTATGTTATCTGTATCAAGAAGGCCAAGTGTGTTTGATGCGTCCACAGGAGCTACTGGAGAAGCATCTGTAACTTGTGACAGTGCGCCTGGAGGCTTCCATGTTGTCGGTCCATATACCTTGATCCTCGCTGCCTGGAGAAGATCGCGGTACTTGAGCATGCCTTCCTCATTCATCCGGGCAGTTCCGCGTTCGATGAGGTCCATGCATGATGCCACATTGCTCCCATGGGAGTAGAGGAGAGGGGATTCTGGGCTTTGATTCATCGCTTTGACATGCCTAGTAGCTCATGGTCAGTTCGGAATCTTGAGAGGAATGTCAATTGGGGATCTGGCGAGATAAGAAGCCTACCAGTCGCAATACAGGCCTGCCAGTCCGACCATGAGGATCGAATGCACTTGCCGTATGCATCGACAAACGGCAGTGATACCATGTTGAAACTCCAACTTCTGCCACTGCCGAACAGTTCCAGACACGGCCCGAGAGCATATCTCGGCCATCTCTTTGGAGGGAATCATGAAAGTGGGAGATGGCCGATACATGAGGACCAGGAGAAGTCCATATTCGATCTTCATTTCGGAGTACTCGCGAGTTCCCTTGAAGTTCAGGGCTTCCATGTCTCGTTTCCAATTCTCTAGTTCTTGCTGGATTTTTTCGACTTCGCTGCAAATTTCTTGGAAAGTGGTTCTTGATGCTCGTCCATCAGGGCCTCTGGCGATGTAGACGGATTCAAGGACGCGCCCGCCAATCTGACGTAGCCTCATCAGATGATTGAAAAGCTTCACACTGAGTTTCTGGAATGACGGCGCCGCCCGAGCCTCGGACTCTGTGAGCTCGTCTAGAGTACTGACAGATGGCTTTGGTGCATCTATTGCATGCTCTCTGACCGAGAGTACTCGGCCAGTGATGACAGCTACCTGTCTTTCCAGTGCGTATACACACCACCAGGTCCGGTTTCGGATCTCTCGGTCATCAGAACTCAGGTCGCCCGGGGTGACGGAACGTCGGTGAAGGCCCATCTCTATAGCTGTTGACATGGCATATCGACTCATCTGCCAAAGGTCGTCACCGTGATTTCTAACGTTTGATCCTAGCATCCATAAGCACAGCAAAAGCACGGAGTGGAGGCCTTGCAGATCTCTCGGATGGTCGTGTATGTTCAAAAAGAAATGTAGACCTGTCTGGAAGTAGTCTGTGGGGCTGTTCAAGTCCATCATCCGTCGGTATTCCTGAGCTTCCGTGCAAGATGCTGAAGCGAGGGCTAGCATCATGAGGACTAAAAATTTCTGATACAGTGTGCACCGTGCTGGGTCTTCGTAGATTCGTGCAAGACTACCTCTCAAGAACGGAAGAGAAACAAACGGCCACCATGTGTATATGCGACTGATGTATGTGGTCAGGAGAAATCTAGCGACAGGCTGCGGTGGGAGTGCAGCGTTGTTCCGGACGAGTTCGTGATCATGACCGGAGAACTCTGCGCGACCAGAACGCGATACTGATGGTGATGCAGACAGGTGAATCTGCTTGAAGAAAATGCGAGCAAAGGTCGAGCCGGTGGCACTTCCCACTGAAGAATTGACAACGATTACTACCAGGCTTCCAAGAATGGATCAAGCATCAGCTTGTGGCCTGAGAAAGCTATACTTACTGTATATCCTTTCTGAGTAGCCGCTCGGTCTACCAATTGCAAGAACACCAATCTCCTCGGCTTCTTTGCGAACATCGTCGAATTGGCCAGGTCCAGCTACCGGGCCAGTTTGGCCTGCCGTGACCTCAGGAACAGCGTCGAGTCTGGCTTGAAGCTCAATAATTCGGTCTTGCAGGCTTTTGACGGCAGTGTACGTATAAGTTACACGATCGGTGATGTTGCACTCCTCATTCTGTTTCTGGCAAGTTGAACATCGTGGAACACGTAAATCACACTTGGACGTGTCAGAATTCATATTTCCCCTTATTCGAAGGATGGCGATCTACCTTGACTTTTCGTGCATGGCAACGACTGCAAGCTTTGGAGACTGTCGGTGGGAATTGCGATTCCCACGTCACGTCGGATCCATCATCCATGGAGTATGGAATTGTAGGTGTTGCTGCTGGCTATGTAAGGTAGCTAAGAAGAGAGTGTGTGGTTCTTTGTGTCTCGGGGGTGTCCGAGTCTTGACTTCGGAAGACAGTAAAGAAACAGTGCCTAGGTAGGACTGTGTCGCATGGCTGTGGATGGAAGTCAGGGATTCTTATCGATAGACTGCCCCACTTGCCGTTATTGGTGATTCCCAAGGATGCGGTTCGGTGCCCGGCCGGTGAATCTCGGTGTAGAGCTCCTGCTCGCTGTGTGTAAGTCCAACCTGACTTGGATGCCTTCACAGGCAGCTCAGAGAATCGCGCCTAGAAAAAAGAGTGCACGCTTTTGTTTATTTTCACACTTCCAATACAATCACTTCGGAAGGAGCGTATTTTATTTTTCTTTTACACGCACACTCACCACAAAACGTCTTTTCCCCCTCACACACTCCCATCACGTACCACTCGTCACACTCCACAAACAACAGCATCCACCGAGAACTTCAATATCCGACTTCATCGCCAGCGATCAGCTACTTTTTCTTCTCTGAACAGATCAGCTCAACTTCACATATAATATCCATCACAATATTGGGCAAACAGCCTCAATATGAATCCTGCTGGCTCTATTGCTTTGTTGGTCATCCTGGTCATCTGTCTCATCTGCGCTATCATCTGGCTTGCCAAGGACCAGG